GGGGCTGGTATATGATGTTTTCTCTGCTTCTACAGTCTTCCCAATATGTCACCATCAGCTGGAAATCAAGGGTTCAAACACAGGAGCCATTTGGGACATTTTACATTCAAACCACAACTTATGTTTAGTCCATCTTAAGAGAGTTTGTAAGCATCTCTTCATTGATTTGAAGGACTAGAAACAACCAATCTCTCCCCACCTTCATTTGCCTCCTATTTCCTTCTCCATTTTCTCTCTATCAGTATTTTCCTGAAATGCTTTGAAGTAATCTGGCTGAAATCATAATGTTAGATAAGAAAATTCATTATATATTGGAGTAGCACTGAGTCTATGACCATACCTCATCAACGTCTAACACCTGTGCCTGTGCAGCCATGCATGTTCTTGAAACTGTAGCTTTGCCCTGTACACTGCAAGACTCCCATGGGGCAGGTGGCAAAATATTTTCCTTTCACCTCTGAAAACTTTCCAAAAACAGCCCGACAGTTCAGCCTCTGTTTCTTGAAGGGGATTTACAGCTAGGTCCTCTTGCTTGTCTAGTACACCACCCCTGCCTACTGAGCCATCCCTCAAGCCCTGAGGGGTAAGGAAATTTAGGCACTATCTATGCAGATACCTGAAGAAAAAGCAGTTAGTCTTCAAGAAAAGAAAAGAATAGGAGGCTGCTGAGTTAAATGTGTACCTTGTGTGTTCAGGAAGGAGTGAGAAAGTCATGGGGCTGGAAGATGAACAATAAGGTGAAGCCTGGTGAGGGCCTCAGTTTCCTTCAGCATGTGACCAGAAGACACAAGAAGGCACTACCTCAAAGTCTGGGTCTTGAATATGCAGGGGAGTTAGGTAATAACTAAGTTAAAGTATAAATTATAAAGCAAGCAGGAGAGGTGGTAATGGAAGATATGCATGCTAGTTTCCTGCCACTATAAGGAACACCTGAGACAATTAACTTATCTAGAGTAAAGGTTTATTTTGGCTGGAAGTCTTGAAGGTTTCGGTCTGTAATGCTTGGCCCCGTTTTTTGTTGTTGTTGGGATTTTATTTGCTTTCTTTCCTTTTCTTTTTTTCTTTTTCTTTTTCTTTTTTTTTTTTTTTTTTTTTTGCATGTGATTAAAAAAAATCTATTTTCTGATAGCCAAGAACATAGAACATAGAAATCATTTTCGCAGGATACGCCAGTGACCAAGGGACCCCCCCCACACACACACTAGGCCTTACCTGCTAACAGTTCCCCTTCTTCCATGTGGTGTCATTCTAGGACTGAGCCTTTAGCATGTGGACCTTGGAAGACACTCAAAATCCAAACTAAAGCAGAATGAACCCGGATGCACTGAAAGAAAAATACTTGACATAACAGTGTAAGGGCTGTCTAAAAGAGAAACCAGAAGGACAGACCTTACCATGTGCTTCCGTGTTTCCTTCTCCTGGGAGCTGGAAAAAAGGTCCAGTGTGAGGACCAGATGTTAGCATTTATATCCTCTGTTCCTTTAATGTCTGCTGTGGATTTTTTTTTAAAGATCTTCTATACTCATCCTCAGATTTTGTATAAATTAAATTACTAAAGCAAGAAGAAAATATAACAGAAAAATACATCTATGATGCTATTTTCACATTGAATCACCATCTTCTGCTCCATGGAGAAAGGAGAGCTCAGTGGCTGGCCTCTACCCCATTTACAGTGAATTAGTACCTACACGTCCATCATCATTGGGCAGGAGAGAACTCAGTTGGTGAGGTGCCTGCTTCACAAACATGATGTGACTTGTGTTCAACCCCCAGCACTCACAGAAAGAGCCAGGGGCAGTGGAGCACATCTGTAGCTCTGACACTGGGGGTGGATCTCCTGGGGTTCATTAGCCAGCCAGACTAGGTCCTACCTCAAGAAACAAGACAGGCAGCTATCAAGGAAGATGCCTGATGTCTATCTTGTCTCTACATGTTCACGTGCACTCTAACACATCCATAGAAATGTGTTTAAAATGCACTCACTCACACAGAGATTATCACAAATGTCTGATTTTAGTCCGAAAATTACCCAGAAGCCTTTAAAACATCCTGTTCTGAGAACTGTGTGCACTGCTTTGAATTTATTCCCCCACTTCTTTTTTGTTTCTCGGCTGTCTTTCTACAACCACAATTTTTGAACTTTCAAAATTTGATAACTGACAAACCTTTAATTATTCCACCAGTTGAAATCTGTGACTCTTAACTGAGTTTTGGTAAAGTAGGTTAAACTATAGTAAGAGCTGAAGGGGTTGGAGGAAGGTAGAAAAAAAAAAAAACACTCATGGGCTATTGTTGGTTCTGGTAAAGAAGCATTTTCCACCCCTTTGTTTAAGAAGTCAAGACATCTAGTAGTGCTTTCTGAATGGTTTTTAACTGTTGCGGACTTTGAAATTTTTTGAGTATTTATTTTCTGTGTCTGAATGTTTTGTATGCATGAATGTCTGTGGAGCACCTGAAGGTCCAAGAGGCATCTCCTAATGCCTTGAACTGGAGTAACTGATGGCTGTGAATCATCATGTGGTTGCTGGTGACCAAACCTGGGTCCTCTGCAAGAGCAACAGGAGCTCTTCACCCTTGAGCCATCTCTCCGGCCCTGGCAGGAGATGCTTCTCAGTTCTGAGTGGGAACATTTTACCCTGAACTGAGAATAGCCTTTCACCCAGAGCCAATGCACACAGCATTTCTTTTGTGACTTGTAGATGAAAGGCTGTATTTAAATGCCAAATGGCTACAGATGCTGGCATGTTGTTTTAAACTCCTAAAAAGTTTTCCTTTTCTTTTTTTTTTTTTAAGTGGAAATGAGCCCTCTTTCCATTCCTTGCTGCATGGAAAATATTACATCCTCCTTCAACAAGCCTGGAAGGAGATGAGTATTGCAGAGTTTTATTTATTTATTTATTTTTCATGATTTCTTACCTTTCAAATCTTATTCCTGTGTAGATGTGCATCAGATTAAAGAGCCTGAATGCCAGGTTTGAACCATTGTTTTAAACTTCCCCCACTGGATTTGGCTTGATGCTGTGAGAATATCCATTGTATGCCATTGTGCAGCTTTAGTTCATCTTGACTGATGCCCTTGACTTCAAAGTATAAGTAGAAAAACAGAGACAGGTGACAAGGATTGATTAGCAATCTTTCTTCTAACAGAAACAATAAAGCCACTAGATAAATCACTGACTCAAAAGCCTGAAAAATACATGGTGAAAGAATAGTGTGTGTGTGTGTGTGTGTGTGTGTGTGTGTGTGTGTGTGTGTGTGCGCACACGCGCGTGCGTGCCTGTGTACGTGTGTGTGTGTGTTTATGAGTATGTATTGTAAAATAGTGATTGCATTTTCTACAAGGACTTAAAGATCCTATCTGGCCTATCGTTACTACCTATGAATTTTTATGGAAAAACAGGCTTCCAGATTCTAATGAACTGAAAATGCTTTCTTGCCATCTCTTCCAGGGGATTTTTCAGGCAAAAAGAAATAAGCCAATGTCATTGCCAATAGATAAACAATATACATATCATAATTACTACTATGGTGTTTACCTTTTCCTGCCTTTCTGGTTCCAGAAAACACTCAGGGTGGGCTTTTTACTGCAAATCGAAGCCACAAAGGAAGGAGAGCAGCAGCCACAGTCACTGGGAACAGGAAGCTGTGACTGAGAGTGGGCCAAGGGACAAACAGTCCCATCAGCAGCAAGGGGTCATGGCAGGAGAAAGAGGAGGGCTGTTGCTGGGATCCTGACAACTTTGGCAGCAGCCATTTGTGTGAAGACAGTTCTTGTGTTATTTGTAGACATCTGTTGACCAAAATGATGGAATTGTATATAGCCAGGGGATGCTGGGTCCGATCAAAGAATGGAGTGACAGAATTAACTTAGCTTGCCAGAGAATGTGATAGTTGACATAACCCTGGACAAACAGGAGTTGGAGAGTACATTTGAAAATGAATTTATCCTCTTCTCAGCCCTCCCTGCCTGTTCAAACCACTCTCCAGCTGAGGGCTTCTGTTCCTAGATAAATTCTGAGATACATATGGTGCTTTCTCGGTCTCCTCTGTGAATTCAAAGAAAATCAAATGTTCCTGCAATTTTCAATAGCTTATACCTGTACATGTGGAATTAGTTTGTTAGTTGTTATGTCTGATCTAGTCTATCCTAATATGTCATATTTCATTCATTTCAAGATGAAGTGTCTGTCACTTGTAGTTTCTGCTTGCTACAGATAAGTATCCACCAGTGTAGCAAGAGCTATTGTGAGCATAGATCCCTCCATAAGTTTATCTTCCTCTTTACTCTCCAAGTACCTCTGACTTCTTTATAGTGTATGAATAAGCAGAGAGCAGAGAAGGCAGGAAGACGTTCCAGAATGGACATAGATTTGCTCTCACGGATAGTGAAACTGACTTTTTTTCTTTGTGGGCACTTTCATGGGGTCTTTTGGGGAGACACTCCATCCTCTTTCATTGTGTTTCTTTTCTATGTTGGCTCCTGCATTAAGGAAGTGGAAACATTCTCCTTTTTTAGGGAATCATAGTGCTGTGCTGATTTCCATGACAGTTGCTTTTGGATGAAATGAAGGGCACACTGACTTTGCAGAGAGTGATACCCAGAGGGAAATGCTCTTCATTTGCAGATAAAGGATACCCAGACGGAAGGGGATGTGTATGAAGGGGCACCTGTTGTGTGGACTGTGACTGAAGTCTTGCAAGTGGACACAATTGCCTGGGAAGAGATATGGTGGGCCTTCTAGAGACATAATGACATAGTTAAGAGGCAGTAGAGGGGAAAAAATCTGGCTAACTGACATGTCAACATTTGCTAGGGAGTCCTCCCAGAACTGTGCCCAATAGCATGTGTATTTCTTGTGTTGAATGCATCTATCTGTTTATTCTTTACCCCAGAGGTGAAGCTTTATGTTTTTTCCCTAACTGAATGTGGGCCCTATAGTGGTTCATGTTTTTAAAATTGCCTTTCAGTTATCTGACAAAGTTAACTCTTTCTTTTCCAGTTGTATATGAACACCGATCAAGATTAGAGAAATCTTTGCAAAAAGAAAGGCTTGAACACAAGAAAGCAAAGGAAGGTGAGACAATCTTAGTTTGTGCCCTCTTGTTTCCTCCTCTCCTTATTTGATATAAGGTACATGACCTATGATGCTTTTTTGTTTTGTTCCTTTTTTTTTTTCTAAGTTATTTCTCAAATCACCCTGAAGCCAGTGCCATAGGTGGGCAGTGAAAGAGCTGTCAATAAATGTGTTAGGCATGATGCAGATATTTTACATAGCTTCAGTGATGGGGAAGTAGCCCTTTCTTCTCCTTTGGGAGTTCAAGCCAGATAGTAAGTGGAAGATGTGTGAGCTTTATCATCTCATCTCACAGGGATTCACATCATTCAATCCCATAAAGAACCCTCTGCATTAGAGGTTCAAGAGGGGATTTAGGAGTTTTTGTTCTGTTTCTGTAGCCTTCATGAAGGTCATACATTGGCACACAACATCCTTCCTATATGACATTGATGTATTTCTAATGAATACAAACCTCTGCCCACAATTGAATTTTGAGAAACCATGCATTGTTTATAACAGGACATTTTCCATACACTCCATCTTACATCATAGTGAGTTGACCCACTACCCAGAATCTTTTGAATGAAGCAGTTGTTATTATTATTTCATGAAAAATTTTACTACACAGTTGTTCAATCAGAAATTAGGTACCACTGGCAATGCTGTTGATTTTAGCAGAGCTTTTTAAAGAAAGCATACACTCCAGTATCTAGCTCCAGGAAGTTAACTACGTTCTTATTTTTTACTTATTCACAGTTTGTGATAAATCTGGGAATTTAAGCACTTGAGTCCCTTGGTGGAATAGGAGGCCAGGTGCAGTGATGGGTGCTGGATAGCATGCAACACTCTCCGACTCTTGGGTTGAGCAGACTTCAGAATTCTGAGAAATGCTTTGAGACTTATCTTTGTTTGCCCTGTCTTCCACTGCAGAGTGATTTTATAGAGCCATCTAGTGGATAATAAAGTTTACAGAGCATTGAGATAACTTAGATGGCTTGATTGTCTTTTCAGCTCCTGACAGAATTTAGTGTGCCCTCTAGTGGGTATCGATAAATCACCCTTGTCTCCAAATGCAGCCCCTACCTCTGGGTTTCAAAGGCTGCTTTTCACAGAGATCTTGTAAGTGTCCTCTTCAGTTCTTGATTAAAACACCGGACTCTGATGATACAAGGTTCAGAGATAGAAGGGAAAGTGGAAGATGGCATGCTTTGTCATCTGTTTTCCCACGCTTTGAGAGGTAAAGTGAAATACATAAATCGCCAAATAGATTGCAGAAAGCATTTGTGCAAGTCTGAGTAAAGTATGACTGTCCCTGAGATATTTAAAGATTTTGAAATGGATTCACTTACTATGCTTTCTGCATTTTTATCTTTCCTAGATTTCCTTGTTTATAAGTTAGAAGCACAAGAGACCCTAAACAAAGGAAGGGTAAGACTTTTCTCTATTTTGGCTTTTCATTTGTTTTCATGAAACTTGAGACAAAAAATATTACTGTGAAAAATTTTAATCTATTGATCACTAGCATTGTAAGGTGGACATGTATTTTTGTTACAAAAAAAGAAAACTCCCAAGAGGAAATCTTTAAGCATTATTCATTTAAAACTTACCTCTTCTTGACACACTGATAATGATTAGTGAGAAACTGAGACAGCCTCACTATGTCTGTCATAAGGAGTGAAGGCTTTGTTTGGGTGCTTGGTTTGCTTCTGGAGTTTGGAGATAGGCTGTCTTATTCACAAGAGGCCTCAAAATCCTTATGTAGCAGAGGATGGCTTTGAACTCCTGATCGATCCTCCTGTCTGTACTTCATTAGTGCTGGGATTATAGACTATGTATGGCCACCAGGAAGGGTTATTTTTATTCACTTCTATATTTGCTCATGGTGTCTCTTTTCTATGGCATGCAAAGACTTCCATTTGCCTTTCCTAAATAATATAAAATAAGAGACCTACCTTAGAATTGACATTTGCAAGTATCTGAAGAATGAATTATGGGCAAAATGAATGATATTGGCATTTAAAAATATTTTAGTATTAAAATTCACTGGAGAAAAGCCAATCTTTCTCTTACACTAGAAAAATGTACGAATGTTAGTTGAATAAAACATTAATGTTCAGGGATTTCAACAGGGAGAAAAGTCAGTTCTTTGAATTGCCTGGGAGCAACTTTCAGCTTTCAACCCTTACTTGCTTTCAGAAGCCCCAAACAAACCTGCATGCAAACGATTGTATATTTTGTAATGCAATTTCTTTATAAACAATAAAAAGGAAAAAGGAAAAGAAAAGGTGAGTGGATGAGATGGCAAAGCAATAATGTAGTTTATTTTAAGAGCTGTGAAAAGAAAACAGAGGTGCACACCTTTGTGGTAGCGCACAGCAGGGGTGTGCTGTACAAAAGTAAATAACCTAGGGAATGCAGGCCACAGGACACTCCAGGTATCTTCAGTGTATTGATTGGGAGTGATGGCCTAAGATGTTGGAACTGGGAGGCCTGTGTGGACAGCTGCTCTCTTAGACTACAGGGATGGTCTTGAAAGTGTGAGCTCAAGCTCCATTCCTCCCTATGTAGCTGTGCAGAGTACTTGCTCTGCTTCTGGTTATTTGCCCTATGGTAAAATGAAGATTATGTGAAAGCACACGAAAGTTGGGGGAAGAACTGTCCTCCTCTTTCTCCCTTAAGTCATGCTGAGTTGTGAAGCCTGCTCTTAACTGGTGGATGCCCCACCTATCCTACCCATGCTGGGTGCTAAACTCTGTATTAGTCATACACAGTGACTTTCAGAAGTTCATTGTGTGCCTGGGTCTATAAACTTGTTTAGATTATGAGAAACAGTACCAAATTATTTCTAAGAGCCCCGTCAGTTTACCGTGTTATAATTCCCTCCCCATTCTTTACATTACTATAATCTAACAAACCCAGGAGAAAAAATGAACCCATGTTTCTGCTGTCAAATAAAGAAATAGGAGTTCTTAGGGTTTGATCCAGTGGTACAGTGATTGCCTGATGTGTGCAAGGCCCTGAGTTCAATATCCAATACTGCTAAATAAAGAAAAGAGATGGCCCTACAGATATACTGTCTCTGTCACGGAATTTATGTTAGCTTACAAAGCAAAACTGAAAATCTTTTATTAAGCAAGTGAACATGTCCTTGGCAAAAAGACCCAGATCTTTTTTTTTTTTTAATTTGATTTTCTTTTATTTACAGCAAGATTCCAATAGCCGATACAGTGCATTGAATGTCCAGCATCAGATGCTGAAAGTAAGTATCCTAAAATGTCTTCAATGAACAAAGGAAGGAGAAGGCAATATTTGAACTTATTAACCATCTTGAATGTAACAAAAGAGAAGGTTTGTAGAAAGTTGATTTAGTATATATAGTCATAGTTGGTTAAAAATTGTCTCTAGTTTTAGTGCTTCATAGTGGTTATTAGCTTTAAACACAAAAAAAGTGATTAATGTATTGCCCATTTTCTTATGTAATAATTGGACTCTCTGGTTGCCTACATTTTAAATGTTTTTCTCTTTAGTATCTTTAAAGTTCTTTGTTTGCTTGGACTCTTATGGTGGTTTTTCTCTTATCTTGTACAGTGTGTAGAACTCCAGATCTTCCTCTGTGTCGCTAATGTTTAAGAGATGTACTTTTGTCTACACCAAGAACATAATTTATTTATTAAGTATTTTCCTTCCTTGGACCTTGGGTAAAAGTCACTATAAAGCACCAGGAAGCTCAAAACCACAAACAGTAAAGTGAGAGAGTCCTTGATTCTGCCTCTCAGGAAGAGAGGAGCAGCAGAGCATCCAGAACCATGTGCATATCCTGCCATGGCTCTGCCCCAGTGTTTTCTACGCCTTCGCATCAGCGGAGCACAGAGTTTCTACTGAAATCAGAACCTCTCCCATAGTAAAGAGTGCAGTGCATGACTAAAAACAGGGCACCCTTCCACTTCACTATTTGGAGAATATAGAATTTAAATAACTTGTGATGGCACTGTAGAATCATAATATAAAATCAAATAAATAAAAAATAATTCTAGAAACAATTCATTACTTTTCTGAAAGGGAAAAGAATCAATCCCCTCGCTCTCACCTCCTCTTCTACACCCACCACTCTCTCTCAAACTGAAAATCAAAGAGATATTGACTAAAGTGGCCCTTTGGGGTCAAAAGTCCTGCCTTTGTGTATTTCTAAGATACCTAGAAGAGAATTGAGTGCATAGTGAACATATTCAGCCCTTTTCTTGCCATTATTTCTTTGTGAACTAGGTAGCACAAGCAATCACAAAATGATTGAAAGCATGGTGGTGGACATGTACAAATACTGTACCATAAAGAGTGGAGGATTTTCAGATTTGGGTAACTGAGCTTAGAGTTGCCCTCAATCCTCTCATGAATACTGTAGAGCCTTGATCTTCCTTGTTAAGTAGAAAAAATATGCTAAGTAGCTAAGGGTAAGTTTACTACTACTTTTACCTTGTTTCTACCATAATTTAAATCCAGAGAGAATACCTCAGATCCCCTCCTGCCCACCCCTACCCCCACCACACACCCTTTCCTATCTCTTATGCTAGTCTTTTGCTCTCATTGACGTTTAAAACTAAGGGTATATTTGTGTTTTCCCATGGTCGCAGTTGAACAAAGCGAAAAGGAACTACACAAACAGAGCACAGTGTTAACTGCGCTCACTCCATCATTCATGCTCACCTTCTGATAAGAGATAGGCCAGCCATGCAGGCAAGAAACAGACTCTTGCTGCTGTGATTTAGAGAACATCTCCTTGCTCAAGTATTCCTCTTGCAGAGTCAGCACGAGGAGCTGAAGAAACAGCACAGTGTCTTGGAAGAGGAGCATCGCAAGCAAGGAGAAGACTTCAGTAGAACATTCAATGACCACAAACAGAGATACCTGCAGCTCCAGCAAGAAAAGGAACAAGAACTTTCTAAGCTGAAAGGTATTTGATAGGGTTAGCGATATCTTTGTCCACTGTTTCAACAAGAGCCCACACAGGTGCTGGGCTACTTTAAGATCTTCCCATTATGTAGTGCAGTTAACTTCAGTAGTCACACTGAAAATCAGCCTCTCTTATTCATAGTCCATTGGTTTTGCCTTATTGTTTTAGTTTTTGTTTTACTTATATGGTGTTTTGCCTGCACGTAGTCTGTACACCATGAGCATGCCTCTTGTATCTGGAGGCCCTAAAGGGGCATTACATCTCCCAGAAGTGGAGTTACAGATGGTTGTGAGCTGTCCTGTGCATGTTGGGAATTGAACCAGGATCCTCTGGAAGAGCAGTAAGTGTCCTCAAACTCTGAACCATCTCTCCCTGCCCTCTTTCTCATTATTTCCAAAGAAAGGTTCATATATAGTAAAATTTTAGTAGTCCATATAGAGGAAATCAGAGCTACAGAATATAGGAAAATACATATATGTGATTCTGACTACTAAGGTATTTCAGCCTCTGAACTTTGCACCCAGTACAAAAGTGGAAAGGCAGGAAGCCTTAGAGAGTTTAGCATCACTAAGAAAAGACATTACACACACACAGGCAGGCACATATGTGCTCACCACTTAGGAGAGCTAGAAAGCTAAAAATCGCACTTACAGAATCAACTTTTCAAAGAAGTTTCTCAAAGGGATCTTAAACAACCCAAGTATAGAAAGACCCTTTGACACTTGGCTGGATATTTTATACATTTGTACTTACATCTGATTGTGATAATCGTGTTACTGTAATGGTTGCTGTTAATTGTCCACTTAAAACAATCTGAAAGCACCTAGGAAGGTCTCAGTGAAGTATGATCCAGATTAGTTTGGCCTGTGAGTATGCCAGTGATGATTTTTCTTACTTGGGTTAGGTGATAGGGCATGGCACAGCCTGATTGTAGATGGCATCATTTCACGGATTCAGTCCTGGACTGAAGGACTGAGTATAAGTCACCCTTCCCCTCTACTTCTCGACTATGGATACAATGTGACCATCTGTCCCAGATCCCTGCAGCTGTGACTTCCCTCAGGGGTGAACTATAACTTATAACTGGGCTCTGTGAAGTAAACATTTTCTCCCCCAAGTTGCTTTAGTCAGGGTATTTTATTACAGCAACAGAAGTGGAAATAAGATATGGCTCTGGGTTAAAGGCTTAAGTAATAAAGGTAAAGCATTTTGTGATCAATGAAGGGCAGCCGTGGCTAGGGGCCATAAATGCAGGCAATTTTGGGTAGCTTAATGTGATACAAGGAGAGTATTTAGACCTCCTCCTTTCCCTCCACAGGAAGGCTGACAGCATGGAAACTTAGATAACTGCTCTTGATTTTTGTGAATATAATAGCTGATAACACACTTCTGTAATGTATTAGGACCATGTGAAATCCTTCCAGTGGATGGTTATACTGAAATCTCATCACAAACCTGGAGGCAGTCAGCCCAGTGCCTTGTTTTAACTTAACATATGCAGAACTAGAGGCTGCTGAGCAAAACTTACTACCAGAAGCCCAGTGAAGGCTTGGAAGCCACTGCCACTAATAGTGCAAACTAAAATGCAGATCTAGCTTGTCAAGTGTAGGTATTTCAAGTGTTACAAACTCCATGCAGCCTGCAGTACACTAAAGGTCCATGGAGATGGCTAGTGGTTTCCTGTTTTGACTTCTGGGAAACCTGTGACATGAAGGCCCCATCCTGTCTTGTTCTTAATTGTTTTTCCCCAAAGGTAGTCATAAAGTCTGTGACCAGGAATCAAGAAGGGGCAGTAAGAAAGTAAAACTGTGCCAGCTGTGGTGAGATAAAGGAACTTAAATTGTCCTTTCAACCTTAGCATACCCTGCAGAGATGGAGCTTTGTCTGCTGCAGAGGTACCCCTGTATGGGGACAATTTGGCTGGGGCAGTCCAATTTTATTTAATGCATGCTGTCCAGGATCAAGATTTAATCATGACCCCTTTTTTCTCACAGGCATTGCCTCTTCCAAAATAAATTCTATAATCACCCTGCCAGCATTCAACTTCCCTTGTGTTATTTGTGTACTATCATGCAATCATTGGCCTAACATTATCAGATACTGTCAGATCCATTTTAAACACTGATAAATACTCAAATATGGAAAAGACCATATAGGCAAAATTTTCAAAAGGATGACTGAGTTTGTATGTTTGACTTTCACTTAACTTGTGAAACACATGTCATGATAGAATGTATAAAACTAAAGAGGTAGATTTCGAGTTTGCAAGAGGAAGCAGATAACTGAAAAGGATCTTGGGGGAAGGTTTTGGGAACTCTGACTCCACACACTCACACTTTAACTCCAAAAAGACCCACTCAGACTCGAAGTTAAATTAACAAGAACTCAACAGGGGTAAGAAAAATTAGAGGTTATCATCAGTTAGGTAGAGTTTCTGTTGTCTCAAGTTGAAGTATCTTGTGAGGGGATGTGAAAAAGTATTCACACTATGAGAAATAAAGTCTGTTCTGTTCTTTCCTAGTTTTTATTTGTGAGGATCCTCAAGTCAAAGCACCTGCCCACTTCAGGGCTCGTTCATTAGCAGAAGTGTTTCTTTTCGAACACCTGTGTGATTAAAATTCTTGACTTAATATGTAATGAATAGCCTGTTTCCAGAGGCTTAAGCCAATGAACCAGGTCAGTTTACAATGAGCCTTTGAACCCATGCTGTGTGCTGATATGATATAATCTTTTGTTGGTTTGGGATATTTTACCAGTAAAGATCATGACACAACCTTAAATACGTTTTCAGGTTTCAAATAATGGCACATAAAACTAGACAGTCCCCAGTATTTATGTATGATTGTTCTTCTTATCAAACAGAAACTGTATATAATTTGAGAGAAGAGAATAAACAACTAAGAAAAGCACACCAAGACATTCACACACAGCTTCAAGATGTCAAGGTAAGGTGAAACCAGGCATTTGTCTCTGGGGGATTTGTCTCTTATTTTGCAGAATGTCTTCAAAAGTCATTCCTGGAAGATGGAAAGATGGCTCAGAGACTATGAGTGCTTGGTGCTCTTGCACAGGAACCAAGTTTGGCTCCCAGTACCATAGCTCACAAACACCTCTATCTCCAGCTCCAAGGAATCCAGTGTCCTTCTCTGTCCTCTGTGAACACTACACTCACATGCATACCCCATGACCCCTACACACACACACAGAATTAAAAAATAAAAATAAAGTTTTTTCTTGTTTTAAATTCATCCCCTAATGGATCTGCTTTGCAAACCTAGATTACTGTCATGGGTTTTGCATACCTGGAGTATACCTGATACTTTTGCCACTTGGGCATCACAAACTAAAGTTGGCCTAAGACCTCTGACTATTTGCATCAATACTGAACTCATTCTTTTGGATAATGATTACCCTTTAAGATGGTTTTTATTTACCAAAGCTGACTACGAATGAAAGGATTATCTGGGTAGCACTTTTGATAGATTTTAGAATAGCTCATAAATCGTACTTCTCTCCAGGAATTTTTAAACTTAACAAATGCTCCTACAAGAACAAGCAAGTATCATTTGGGTAGCCACACCAAAGCATTCTGTTTTGTGACATTAATTTAGCTCAACATGTAAACTTCTTTTTTGTGTAGCAACAGCATAAGAATTTACTCTCCGAGCACGAACGGCTTGTAGTGACTTTGGAAGACCACAAGAGTGCACTGGCTGCTGCACAGGTTAGGAGGGAAGCAGCCTCTGTTGGGTCCTTTTAAGGTCTGCTTACTATTTCTAAATTCCTTTATGCATGGAGTTTTTCACAACACAGTCTTCAGAGTTACTTCTGACAGCACTCCTAATCTCGGGGAATGCATGCTTTTCAAAGTCACTGAAGAGACTACTAAAAAACCTTTTCATTGCTTTTGATACATGACTGTTTGTTCCTCTACCACATCCTACATGAAAGGTCCTGATACCTAATTCACAGCATGGCCTGTGAATGTGTTCATTTGCACCGCTCTGGCCTGTATCACATCTTAGTAAAAATCCCAGGATCTAGGATTGTGTGATATGACGACATAATAGATCATTTCCAGGCCTTGTCTTTGTTCCTTGCTTTATTCCCAGTATCCCAGCCTATATGTGTGTACACTTGGAACAAGAGTTAGATAGGGTTGTTCATATTACAGAAGGACAGAAGGGTCAATGGTAAAGGAAAAGTAAGAGTCATGATCTCCATTTGTTCAGAGACTAGATTGCCCCTATCATAAGCCATGTCCTTGGTATATGTATATTAAATGAATAAACAATCAAATATGAGCTATGGGCAGCTTCTTAGGTGATTTCCAAATGAGGACTTTAAAGCTTGAGAGCCAAAGAAGTAGGAGTGCCTGGCCTAGTCACTTGATTTTGCCTTCATAAAACTATTGAAAGCTCTAGTTAATACATTGGGCTTAGACCTATTTCAGAGACTCACTTTTTGCATTTAGGCAACTAAGGTGTTTTTGTTTTTGTTTTCTTAACATAAAAATAATTCATTTTGCTTTATAATTTTCTCAGTATGCGTGCTAATTTCATATATGAAATTACCCCCCCCTCAAATTCCCTTGAGCCCCCAACCTATTACTCTCCCCATTTCACATCATCTCCTTTTGCTTTTTATCTCACTGTGCCCACTTCTGCTGCCTATATATCACGGATGTGGGGCCAATTGATGGAACACTGGAAACCTAACTGTGACCACACTCATAGAGAAAAATGATTATCTCTCTCCCGGCTGCCATCAGCTGCACATTGCTTCCTTAGCTAGGGATAGGGCCTTGTGGGCCGCCCCTCCTTCGGGACCTTTGTACTACTCTGTTTCTCATGACGATTTTTATCTGTATATGTGCCGGTTGACTCTAGACACTGTTGCATTCCAAGTCTTCTTCATAAAACTTGGCAAGTGCTATTTTATGTGAGGTTCACAGAGCAAAGGGGTGGCAAGCTAATCTGAACACTGTGCTGCAAAAGCCATAAATATTACAATAAAAAAATAATCTGAAAATGTACACAAATAGAGTTAAAATGGTTGGTTTAATGACCTAAACCAAGTTCTTATCTAAGTGCATTAGCAGTACTACTGAGCCAACTTCAGAACTCTGTTATCATGATATGGATGTTTGTGTACACACGTGTCAGTGGAAGTCAGAGGGCACACTTCAAGTGTCACTCATCTGGACATCCTCTACTTTCAGACAGTGTCTCGCTGTTCTAGAACTCACTGGTTCCAGTCACTCCCAGGAATCCACCTAGATTCCTACCCCAGCCCTGAGAGAAATTTACAATAAAAGAAAAAGTAATTTTATACACACAAAAATAAATACATATTGTTTTTTATTTAATATGTTTAACTACTTTTGTAACTTCAAGCATTTTGATTGGGGGCTGACCAAAGTTCTGACTTTTCAGGGTTGATTTTTTTTTTTCTCCTTGTTTGCTTTTTTAGTCTTAATACTTATACTGTAACTGTCTGTGCATCCCTAATTTTCTTAATTAGAGCCATATTTCTCTATTAATTTGAACTGATGTAACAAAGTACCATTGACTAGCGGCTTAAACATAACAATGCAGGCTGGGAGTCCTGCATTAACATATTCAGACTCTTAGGAGGACCCTCCTTTGGGTTGTGGCTCCTGGGTTCTTGTATTGCCATGTGGTGGAAACAGACTGGGAATGTTCCCTGGATTCCTGATAAGATGGCAATAGCTTCATTTATGAGGGTTCCACCCTCAGGACCTGAGCACCTTCTATTATTCCAACCACCTGTTGCCATCACTAAAGAGACTAAACTTCAGATATATACATTTTAAAGGGTACATACATTCAGTAAATAACATCATATCACAACTTATCCAAATCTTCAAGGGAGGGACAGTGGCTGTTTCTGGCTTCTACATCTCTTGTGCAAAATCCTCTTGTGAGATTCCTTCTTAACAGGGTGATTCTTAAGTATGGTTGAAAATTTTATTTAATCTTCATGATCTAGGGCTTAAGGATGGTTCAGTGTATAATATCCTTGCCACACAAGCCTTTTAACCAAATTTTGATCCTCAGAATCCACTAGATGTGGAAGGAAAGTCCACTGACATCCACAGGCAGACATGCTGTGACATGCAGTCACACAGAGAGAGAGAGAGAGAGAGCAGAGGTTGAGACGGAGAGACACATACACACATATGTCACACACAATAATAAAATTAATATAAAAAATCTTCATAATCCAATAAATACCCTATGTTCCTTTATAACTAAGTAAACTAGTAAACTGAGGTCTAAAGAAAGTTAAGCAGTTAGTGTGAGAAAAGTGACATCCCCCCCAAAAAAATTGTCACTCCAGTCACATTTCTGGGTGTGTTTAGGAGAATTTTTAGGCAGCACAGGTGTGTAGGCCTTCCCCAGACCTTGCAAACTGTAATTGCTTGGTCCTAGGGAGATGGCTCAGCAGCCAAGAGCAGATATTGCTCTTGCAAAGAACCTAAGTTCGTTTCTCAGCACTCACATCCAGAGACTTACACTACTTTAGCTCCAGGGGATCCCATACCCTCTTCTGACTACTAGGCACTTGCATTCAATGTACACATATTTGCACAGACACACATAAACACACACACACACACACTCATTATTTAAAAATAAAACAAAAATTTTTTAACATAATTTCTGGAGTGGAGGTCGCAGTCTCTACGTATTTAAATATGATCCTTAATATACACTGATATCAAAAGCACAACTTGATTGCCATGATGGATTGTATACCTTTAAGCAGTATTTCTCAGCCTTCCTAATGCTTCCCTTAATACTGTCCCTCATGTTGTGGTGACTCCCCAACCATAGAAGTATTTTCATTGCTACTTCATAAATGTATTTTTGCTACTGTGATGAATCATAATGTAAATATTTGATATGAAAATTATTTCAGGTGACCCCAGTGAAAGGGTTGTTCAACTCCCAAGGGGACCACAACCCTCAGGTAGAGAACCATTACCTTAGAGGGAGAAAAGAGGAATGCATTGAATTGAATTTTATATATCCACATATTACTATGTGAATGCCATTTGTTTTGCTTTGTTTGATCTCCAAAGTTGATTCCTAAATGTTCTGATTGATTTTGAGGTAAAGGCCACTGCCAATTACATGTTACACTTTTGTACAAATTATATAGGAGAGTACTCCCCGGATACATATTTAGCCAGCTAGCATCTTCATGTGTTGATAACTGAGAGATGGCCCCATAACTGTAGTGCTTGCCATGCAATTGTGAGGACATGAGTTTGGATCCCCCAGTCCCCACAGAGAAAAGCCAGATATGGAAGCACAAACTTATAATTCCAACTATGAATTGGCTGGAGACAGTTAGATCCTTGAAGGTATTGGCCAGTCATCCTAACTGAATCAGTGAGCTTCAGGGTTATGAGAGACCTTGTCTTAAAAAACTAAAGATGAATAGCAAGAGAGGAAAATCACTTGGAGTTGACCTTGGGCCTCAACACGTGTGCATGCACACTCGTATGCATATTGTGTGTCCTCAACATACAGACACACACACACACACACTTTAAAAAAGAAAGTGGTAAAACAGTGCTTCTCTGTAGGCATGGAAGAACAAGAGTTGTATGTGTTTATTTACAGAGTAGTTCTGGTTTTAGGATAAGAGTGATAGTGTACATGAAATGTGTATATGCAGTATCTACTAATTTTGTTAAAGTTATTGATTTATTTTCCATCTTTTCTAGCTCCTTGTTAAAAAAAAAAGAAAAATCACATACCTCTGTACCTCCCACGTCAAACAAACAGAATGCACCAGAGCATTCCAGGCCTGCACTGGTCCTCTACTCACACACTGCCTTTGTCATTTCAAGCCAAAGGATGTTCAGAATTGATGACTAGCTTCATTTCCACCCCTACCCCCCCCCCATTTTCCTGTTCTCTGCTACTGCAGAGTATGGTATAAAAAGCAGCCTTGAAAGTAGCAAGTAAAGGACCTGATTTGAGTATAAATAAACTAAAAAGAGGGTTAACAGATAGGTAGGTAGATGGATTGATGGATGGATGAAAGATACACAGATACATACATAGATAATTAGATACATATATAAATGACAAATAGATAACATAAATACATAGATATTCTATTGAAAGTTATAACTCAGGAATACTGTTAATGGGTCTCAATTTAAATAAACATGTAAGTCGATTTCAGATATAATAAAACATTGATTGCATAGCTGTCCTTTATCAGTGATGTTTATAATAAGAATGATTTGCAAAGTTCTTATTTTGTCTCACCTAGCCTGGGAAACTAACATGTCTTGGATATTTTTTTCAGTCTCTTAATTCTGATTCTAATTTGCATGTGCTCAGAAATGGTCAAGCATGACCAAAGAGGAAGGCCTAGTGCATGAAGGCACCCTGCAACTTTGCTAACAAACTTAGGTTTGATGTTCCCTAGTACTCCAGTGAACCGAAAAGCCCATCTAATTGGATTAACCTATGTCTCGTTTTTCTCATCAAATTGTGCAATTTTCTTTCAACTGTGCTGTTTACATACAGACTCAAGTTGCAGAATATAAACAACTAAAAGATACTCTGAACAAGATTCCGAGCTTTCGAAATCCTGACACAGAAGAGCACCGAAATGTCACCTTTCCTCAAGGGACTCCACAAGGTTCCAACATAAGAGCGAAACCAACAGGAGAGGTAAGAGAGGTAAGACATGTGACCTGGGAGTCCCTAGTTGGTGATGTTCCCTGTGGAGCTGCCCTGAGGAGAAATGCTCCCTGAACAGCCAGCTTTTCTTATCATACATATTCCTAGATTTCTTATACATTAGCATCCCCAGTGGGGTATGTTAAACAGGCTTCTCAGCAACAGCTCCTCCACTTTCCAATTTGGCTTATTTGAGGTTTGGCCTGGGGATTTGTATTTCTAACCAAATTAGCTAGTCTGGGGGAAAAATACTTAAAAGATGTAGCATTTACATTTACTGGGAAAGAATTTTCTGGCTTTGTCTTTATCTATGTAAACTTACATGTATTAAAGGAGCTCTGGTATATGAATATTTGAAGATGAGATGGTTTTTCTTTCCTTTGAATATGTGAAAAGGTTTTGAATAGCATAAGATTATTATGTGGTAGCCCATTTTATTATTAACATTAATATAATGAAACTTCCTACATTGTGGGGTCTAATAGAGCTTGCCAAACCATATTAAAATACCCATGTAACCTGATCATGATCCATTTTATTCTTATTCCTCATGAAAATGAAGATTTTCTTGAGTATGTGTAGTGGGATATTTGTCTGCTTCTGTGGCACTGACCACGCCCATTGGGGGGTGGAGCCAGGGGCAGATGGGAGCTATGGAACTAGATCTGAGGGCGAGCTGGGGAATTCTCTCTTGCTGGCAGGTCTCAGAAAGGAGAGCATCCAGTGGAACTTGCTGGTGTTCATCTGTCTAGGTTGTAAGTTATTTCTCCCTGAATAAACATCTATTCGGCCTATTTGTTTATCGGGATCCTTATTAAACCACAATAAGTATGTTTCAGAAGTGGAACATTACTAGTGTGGTCTTAGCACTAATTCTTCCAAGTTATTTTGGGATGGCCAAATAGTTCAGCAGATGAAGACACTTGCTGTAAGGATTAATGACCTGAACTTAATTCACAGGTCCCAAGTGGAGGAAGGTAGAGGGGTGTTCCCTGTCTTCCACATGCAGGCTGGGATGTGCTTGCTCTAAGTGTTTGAGAAGTCTTGTCTCCAAGTAGCCATTTTATGTAGATAATGAAGTCAACACCATTGGAGTTCTCCTATGAATGTTTTTAGCATCATTAGAGCATTCCTTCACAGATAGTCCTTGCAATCTAATTCTTTCTTGGGGATTTGTAATCCTGAAGTTGATGACAGCATGATAGGACCACATGCCTGTCATTTGACTGTGATCTCCCAGTTTTCCATCTGATGATTCAGAGTTTGGTTTTCTCCAACTGTGAGTTAGAGATTGTAGTTATCTGTCCTCACATTCTTCATGGGGACAGAGTGGAGATAAATGGCAGGTGTTTGAAAGTTGTTAGAGACCTTGAGAAAACATTTTCTGCAAGGCAGTTTTATGGCAAACTTGCCAGAAGACTTTGTCAAAATGTACACCTGTATAAATTCCCAGGTATTCAAGGAAAATCTTTTCTCCATGCTTCGTGATTTATACTCTTGACTTTCTCAAGAGTGATAATTACATCCCTGCTAGCTTCAGACTAGGGCTTCCCATTTCCAATTGCTCATAGTGTGGGCCACTGGGCATCTAATTGTAAAAAATCAATCTGACCAAGGAAGTAACTTAGAGGGAAAAGGCACTACAGATTTTCCTATTAGTGTTTTTATCTTCCTAACTAATGTAAGTCAAAGAAAGGTTGGAAACTTATAGAAAATGTGGATATTACTCAACAGAAAAGACATTTTCTCCTCCTCCTCCCCTCCCCCCTCCACCTCCTTCTTCTTTGTTCTTTCACCCTATTTGTTCTTTTATTCCAGTTTGAGACTTTTATCCTTATTATTTTCCTTAAATGTGTAATTAACTTTTGTTTCCTTTTTTACTTAAATTTGAAACAAGGTTGTTTTACATGTCAATTCCAGTTACCTCACCCTCCTATCCTCCCCTATTACCCCCACCAAACCCCAGCTCACTCCCTTTCTGTTCCCCAGGGAGGGTGAGGCCTTCCATGCAGAGTCTTCAAAGTCTTTCATGTTACTGGAGCAAGGCCTAGGCCCTCCCCCATGTGTCTAGGCTGAGAAAGTATCCCTTTATGTGGAATGGGCTCCCAAAGTCCATTCATATACTAGGGATAAATACCATTCCATTACTAGAGGTCCCATAAACTGCCTGGTCCTCCTGACTGACACCCACATTCAGGAGTTCTGGGTCAGTGCTATGCTGGTTTCCCAGCTATCAGACTGGGGTGCATGAGCATCCCCTTGTTCAGGTCAGCTGATTTTTGTGGGTTTCTCCAGCCTGGTCTTGATCCCTTTGCTCCTCACTCCTCCCTCTCCGTAACTGGATTCCAGGAGTTCAGCTTATGTTTAGCTGTGGGTGTCTGCTTCTGCTTCCATTAGCTACTAGATGAAGGCTCTAGGATGGCATAGAAGGTAGTTGTCAATTTCATTATCGTAGAAGGGCATTAAAGGTAGCCTTTCCACTATTGCTTAGATTGTTAGTTGGGTTCGTTCTTATAGATCTCGGGGCATTTCCCTAGTGCCAGATTTCTTCTTAAACCTATAATGGCTCCCTGTATTATGGCATCTCCTTTGTTCTTCTCCTCTGTTCTTTCCCTTTCTCCATCTTCCTGCTCCCTCATGCCCACCTCTCCCCTCCTCTTCTCCCCTTCTCTTTCTTCTATCTCCCTCTCCCCTCCCTTCATGCTCCCAATTTGCTTGGGAGATCTCGTCCCTTTCCCCTTCTCCAGGGGACTATGTATGTCTCTCTTAAGGTCCTCCTTGTTTCCTAGCTTTTCTGGTGGTGTGAATTGTAAGCTAGTAATCCTTTGTTCTATGTCTAAAATCCATATATGAGTGAGTACATACTGTGTTTGTCTTTTTGTGACTGGGTTACCTCACTCAGGATTGTTTCTTCTAGTTCCATCCATTTCCATGAGAATTTAAGGATGCCATTGTGTTTTTTCCACTAAGTAGTACTCCTTTGTGTAAATGTATCACATTTTCTCCATCCATTCTTCAGTTTGGGGGGGGGGCATCTAGGTTGCATCTAGGTTCTGACATGCCAATGAAGTACAAGAAGCTTACAGAACACCAAATAGAGAAGACATTTTTTAAAGAAGAGTTTTAAAGTTTTGTTTCTTGGTTTAGTTTCCTGTATTGAAAGTGTAAAATAAATACACAGACTGCCTTTGGTTTACAGAAGGTTTAAAAAGCTTCATTAATATTTTATTGGGATTAGGAAAAATAACTCAGCAAAATTCTTGCCACATGCTCGAGTTCAACCCCTGGCCCCCATTTAAAAAGCCAAACATTGGAGTCTTTGCTTAGAATAGTAGAGCAGAGACAAGAGGGTCCTTGGGGCTCACGGACCAGTCAATCTAGTCTAGTTTGTCAGCCTGAGAATACTAAGGACCCTGTCTGTACTTACAAGATAGTCAGCTCCTCAACCTGAGGTTGGCCCCAAGCTTCCACATGCTCTGCCAGCATAAACAGCTGTGCATCTGTACACTTGCAAACCCTGGCACAAATTAAACTGTTGTAGCAAAGAATATTTTGCATCCTGTTTAGCTGAAACTATTTTAAGCTAACATGGATATCTACTAGTAATGCAAGTCCCTCTAATTACTAGTTAATGAAGTTAATGAGAAACAAGATTACTCCTTCAACTGAACCTTTAATCTGCCATCCAGGTGGGGTCATGTAAATCTGACAAGTCATTTGAAGTAGGGATTAGGACTTCTCTCCTGTCTCTAGGTTAAGGAAGTATCCCTTCATTGGGGATGTATCTGCAAGGTCCTTTTGTGCACCAGGAATACATCCTCGGTCCACTGTCTGAGGACCCTTAGACTGCTTTTGAGGGAAGTGCTTTTTGTTTTGTTTTGATACATAGTAGGATTCACTTTCCTGGTCACTTACCAGTCTCTGAGATAGAATTTTCCTAAATGATTTCTGTCTTAGGGTGAAATGACACAGCAAGAATTAAATAGCTCCATCATACCAGTTTTCTCTTTAAAGTCATGGTTGTGTATATTTCTGAATTCAATGATTTTTCATATGCTGCAGCCCTTTAAATGTGGTAATGAAAGAATAACGCCACTACATTTGAAATAGCAAAATGTCATTCTTTTTGCCATGCCTATCTTAGGTGTCTCTCCACAATGAGGTGTGGCAGAACCAGGAAGCAGTGCCAGGAAGACTAGAAGAGAAGCCTTTCTCTTCCATGCAGAAGGAAGCAAGATTCCAGGCCCCAGCAGAGCAGAACCAAGTGGAAGCCAGGGAGCCGGAAGAGCATCAGGTGGAAGACGAGCACAGGAAGGCACTGGAAGAGGAGGAAATGGAGCAGGTGGGGCGGGCAGAACGTCTGGAGGAAGAACACGACCCATCACCAGAGGAGCAGGATCGGGAGTGGCACAATCAGCAGGGACAGGATGCAGCCCACCTTCTGGATGGCCACCCTCAAGCTGAGGTGCTTGGGTACTCGTTGCAAGTTCTCTCTGATGGGGAAGTTGGCTTTGCCTTTAGATACAAGTGAAAACATAATGGGGCTGTGGAGATGCTCACTCAGGGACGTGCAAGCGTGAGGACCTTAGTTTGATCGCCAAAGTCTGTGTAAAGAGCTGGATTTGGTAGTGTGGTCTTGTAATTCTGCACTAGAGAAGCAGACAGCTGGGTCACTTGGACTCACTAGCCATCCAGACTAGCCTGACTAGAAAGTTCAGGTTACAGAGAGATACTGTGTTTTTAAAAGGAAGGTAAAGAGCACTTAAAGGACATTTGGGGTACACACAAACACACAGAAAGATAGATAGATAGATAGATAGATAGATAGAGAGAGAGAGAGAGAGAGAGAGAGAGAGAGAATGTGTATAAAGAAAAAGAAGCCCTCTTATGAATCACAGTTTCCACAAAGATCTTTGAAAGAGTTCACTGAACGGTCTTTGCTTATATTTAAATTTTCTGTTGTAAGACTAATGGCATGGCATAGTTCAGAAAGGCAGCTGGAGATCAGAGCAATGGCTGCTCATAGACCTCTATTATTCCATTGTTAATGTTACATAATACATAAGAGCCTTGTCCTCATATCCCCATCAGTTCACCCCATCAGGTGAACTCCCAACTGGGCTCCCAAGAATATGCTCACATCCCAGCTGGAATATCCTGATGTGAGAATATGTCTAATTTTCTGTGACACAGTCCTCCTTCTCACAGAATCCTCCTTCTGACAGAGTCCTCCTTCTGACAGACAGAGTCCTACTTCTGGTCGTTCAGTTACAGTGCTGTTCTTGTGCCATTGCTGGCAAAGATGAATCAAAAGCTCTTACACCTTACCCCTTACACATTTACACACTTACCACTTACACATTCACACACTTACCACTTACCCATTTACACCTTACCCTTTACACATTTACACCTTACCCCTTACGCATTTACACCTTACCCCTTACACGTTTACACATTTACCCCTTACACATTTCACACTTTCCACTTATACACATGTGAGCACCTGTAGCCAGTCTCCCCTCAGATACTGCCTGCTCAGCTCATAACTGACCTGTGAGACCCATCCCTACCTTCAAGACAAACAGAAGCAGCCAGTGTCTTATTGGCTTATTGTCAACCAACACTGAGTGCAGCCAAAGACCTTTCTTCACTGCCTCCAAACTCATACCCAATAATAATGCACATGGATGCTGCTGATTTCTTTGTAACTCTGTGTCTTTACTTACCTTCCTATTTTCAGAGAATTGAAACTTCATGAAGCTTCACCCTTAGTAGGTGTGAGGACCTCTCCTGTTGCCCCTCACATCCTCACAAACTTTGTATCTAAATGACACTGCCATCCTCCCCTTAGGCTTGCGGTCCTCAATTCTGCCCTCTTCCTTTAGCTGATGTTTGAGCATGTGTGTGGAAGGAAGATATGTAACTCATTGGGGAGCAGAATTTTAAGAACTGCTATGCTTGGTTTTTCTCTAATTAGAGTGTATTGTCTCTGAATCAATGTATAGCTTATTTAAATAAAATCTCTAGTGCTGGCTTGATAGCTTAATCAGTAATGTGCCCACTTTGCAAGCATGAGGTCCCAGGTTCAATGTCCAAGAATCCAGATACAAAACAAATTGTAATTCAGTCCCAGTTCTGAGTTGGCAGAGATAAGCAGATCTCTGGAGCTCACAGGCTTTGCCTTAACTCAGCAAGTCCCAGGCCAATGAGAGACGCTGTCTTAAACACAAACAAAACAAACATCCACAAGGTGGCATCTATGGAATGACAACTTAGTTTCTCCTCTGGCCTCCACCCACAATCTCACCTGAAGAGCACACACAGACACATTCTCATTCCTTCTATGTCTCCCATTGTCTCTCTGTCTCTGTCTCTCTCCCTCTCCCCCCCCACCCTGTACTTTCCCACTATAAGCTGAGATTTGACATTTTGTTTAGCCTGACACTGGCATATCCATTGTTGGAGTTAATTAGCATCCTTGGGCCTTTAACTATTCCTAGACAAAGTATTAGCCTCACAAGTTGTACAGTTAGGGTGGGGTTACCATGTGCCAGATGCAGAAGCTATGAGCCTAAATTTAATTAAGAGCGTAACTGATTTTTTTCTGTTGTGTTCTGTTCCATTTGAGCTGGAACACACTGAAAAATGGCCTTCCATCTGGCAGCTCTGTGATAAGAATGCCAAGGCCATTCAGAGAAAGATGGAGAGTATGCGATACTGAACTTTATGTGCAATTGGAGTTCACCTGCTGTGAAATGTTAAGAAGCCCACCCTGCCTCCTGAGCTTGTCCTGACAAGGAAATCAAGGGAGTTCCTGGAGGGTCTAACCTCTCTGGTTCATCAACTCCTTTTTGTTCCAGGTGGACCATTCCACCAAGGCAATCACAAATTTCCGATCCCCATATGAGGAGCAGCTCAATCAGCAGAGGCTGGCAGCAAGGAGGGATGAGGAAGCCCAGAGGCTCAGAGAACACCAGGAAGCCTTGCACCAACAGAGGCTACATGGACATTTGCTACAGCAACAGCAGCAGCAGCAGTTCCTGGCCAGAGAGATGGCTCAGCAGAAGCAAGCAGGGCATGAGGAAGTCCAGCAGCCGCAGCACCCGGAGCAGCTAAGGTAGCCTGCCCCTTCCCTTGGTTGGTGTAGACAGTTCTTCCACTGTAAAATCAGCTTTGTGTATGTGTAGCCCTTTAACCCATAACAAGAGGGCATACTCATAGATCTGGTGTAGACAAAATAGAAAACAATTGGGGGATTAAATGCTAGAAACTTAATTCAGCATATTTTTTTTCTTTCTACATGTAATAGTTATGGACTGAGAAGGTAGCTTGGTGATAAAGGGCTTACCACACAAACATTAGCACCTAAATTTTAATCCCCAAAGCCTATCTGTGGCACACAGCCTATAATCCCAGGTCTAGTACAACAGGTTGGGAGATGGAGACAGGAGGTTCTCTCAAGGCTTGCAGCCAAATAGCCTGGAGTATATGGAGGAAAACAATAAAAAGCAGGCCTTGTTTCAAACAAGGTTGATGTCAAGGACAGTATGCAAGGTTTGCTTCTGACTACCTGGCATGTGCTGTAGCATGCTGGTGTCCTCTCATGAAGCTTACATGCATTCACACACACACACACACACACACACACACCATGAAATAATAAACAAGCACAATAGATCTCAAAATAGATTAGCAGACTTAGTCCTAACTTTATTTTGTCATGGACTGGCCTTTTCCTTCTTAAAGGTATGCTTTGAAAACATATCTGCTGCCACTATTATGTTTTTTTTGTGTTTCTAAATCTCAGAAACAAGTATGGGTTATTTTTTAAAGTTGAAATTCCTTATTTATTCCTGTCTTGAAAGATAAGTAACTTTTTTCAAGCCTTGACTGTTAATTTTTCTTTCTGAATTTATGTCCCCAGCAGGCAGCAAGTTAATTACAATGCTGTAGAGAATGACATTGTGCATGGAGCTGAGGACCAGGGAATCCGTGAAGAAGAGGGAGGAGGTAAGGCTACTTACACAGTGACCCCTCAGTCAGATAACTTGGTCATGTCATGCCATATGGACAAAAACATTCTGGAGCCTCAACAGGCAGAGTGCATACCTGAGTAAATGCTGTGGATGGCCAGAACTCACACTTATGCTGTGGTTACATTTGGGCAGAGTCCTGGCAAAAATATTTAGTGGTCCTGCAAATTGGTGGAAAGAGTGTTTATTTGTTTTTTTGTTTGTTTGTTTGTTTTTGTTTTTGTTTTTTGTTTTGTTTTGTTTTCTGAAACATTTTCCCCTCGGTTGAATCTTATTGAGTGCTTAATAGTTGTTTCTGACAATCATCATAGGATTGAGATTCTCTGGGAATTTTCTGTATTTTCTATTTAGGTTGGAAATCTTGTACCCTTGCTTATACTTATTGAAAACATTTAGTACAAAATTCGACAAATGCTGCTTCCTGTGGAGACAGAACTGAAGTTAACTAGGCTTGGCACCACTGACTTTTACAAATGTTTGATTTTCTAGAAAGTGTCTAAGGAAAAGCACAGGCATGCACTTAATCAGCAGCCTATTGTGCTACTTTATAACCCTAAGAGTCAAGAAATTGTCGCCTTTATGTCCCCTGTGGGTCACCTTAACTTCTTCTATTTGCTATTCATAGGACTAAGGGCTATTTGCTCCCCTCCTGTTTAATAAGAGCCCTTGGGCACTCACAGCTTGCCAGCCACTCCCTAGTTCTTCAGTATGTCCAGACTAAATAATTCTGTATCCTTATCCTTCCCTTTTATGGCTTACTTTTAAAATGATTTACAATTTGCATGTGTTTCTAATTGTGTTAATCTGAGTAAACTTATGTCAGTATAAGCATGGGTTGGTTTTCCTGGCAGCCATCTGTCTGCTTCTGAGTTCACGGTTGTTGTTGTCCACTTTTAAATGTCTTAATTTTGAAAAACTCTTCTTCTGACAGTAACCCAAATCATTTAACCATGTAGGTTTTCTTTTATTATGAAAGTTGTGGTTATTGTTTTCATATCTGGTGGGGAAATAACAGCCTCTGCTACGTATCTCTTAAGAATGGTAGAATGATACATTCACTCATCCATTTTACACGCAGTCTGTAAAAAAAAAAAAAAAAAGGACAGAAATGCTCATCTGTATAAAAAGGACAGAACTGCTCAAAAAACAAAAGAGAGACATGCCACTACTCAAGGAGGAGGTGAGATAGAGTGCTGTGACCTCTAGGGAAGCCCCTTGTAGGCTGCTGTTTGAGAGGAAAATTCTATGTGATCCACTTTGGGCTGATTATGGTTTCTTTGCTTGGCTAGCCTATGAAAGAGATAACCAACGCCAAGATGAAGCTGAAGGAGACACAGGCAACAGACAGGAACATCATGAACCAGAGCCCCAAGAAGCTGACCCAGAAGCCGAGGCAGATGTAAGTTTCCTCTGCTGATCTCAATTAGTATGTCACAAGACAAGTAAAATGTGAACATGTGTCTGACTCAGACTTATAGCTCCAGATGTGTTTCTCATCAGGCAGAGAAGGATCTCTTGCATAACCATGTAGTGTCAAACGGAAGTGTTAAACTGCCAATCATGTGGTAGAGTGCTGCAGGGTTCCCTGCAGGATCACAGCCATCAGGGACATAAACAGCAAAGAGGAGAGAATAAAAATTCAGTATAGCCTGACTTGATCAGTCAGACTGTTTCAAAATATCCAGAGATCCTGATCCCATGGTTTAATTTTCTTATATATTTAAATACTATAGAACTTTGGGGCGAAAGTCTTCATGTTAAATTCGTATAACAAAGCTTCAGGGATAACAACATAGAAATTTCCTTGCTATATGTACCTGAGACCTTTATCATAAGAATAACTTCTACTGACTGGCAAACGGTGCTGGATGCTAGGATCTAGAGAGGAAAAGCTATAATAAGTATGAATTCTATTCATGGAGGACGGAGAGTACTTGGGGCTTCCTGAGGGTGAGTTCTACTCACTGAGAGACTAAACCCAGGATTAGGTCCTAAACAATTCTCGAGATTTGGGGGAATTCAGGTGAAGGCTGTCTCCTAAAGGAATAGCAAAGTATCACCACGTTTCTTGACCACCTTCCACCCCAGTATTCCAAATGAACAGCTATCAGTTTTCCTACCACTTCAAACCAGGCTTGAATGCTTAACAATTCAGGTTTCTCCAGTCTGTGCTTCCTACAGAGGAGATATGAGGAGATGGGCTGGAGGTTGCTCTGGAGATTTAAAAAAAAAAATCACTTTGATATCTTAGAGGTTGATTAAACTTAAACCTAGAAAAGCAAAAGAGAAAGGCATTGAAAAATCCGGTGGCTTTTGAGGCTGAGAAAAGGGTGCAAGCTAGTGTAGACATCTGAAAGAGGACCAGAGAAAGGACTTCATGTTTGCTGAGCATGTTGTGTGTTCTGTTGGGATGTCTCCAGTGACTTAGTTCCTACCCAGTCTCCAGTGACGACCTTCATAACAATGAATAAAGATTCAGAAAATAATTATGTAGATGCCTGGTTAGCTTTTGTGTTGACTGAAAACAAGACCCTCCTCACCTTTCAAGTTGCACAGGTCCTTCGCCCTACTCAGGATCAATGCAAGCCACTGGGAATGATTCCAACCTTTGTTTTGTGTAGATAATATTTGCAGTTTACAATAGCTATCTTATTTTATATACATATGCACACACACACACACACACACACACACACACACACACTGCCAAAGTCTTTCTGGTCATTGCTTAGAGCCCTTTGATGCAGATGGCTTTTGTTCTTTTCTTACCCTAAAACAGGGAAGAATACCTTCTCTTTCTCTCTTCTGCAATAGCATTCAGGAAAATATGCAGCCTGGAACCTAACTCTGAACTGTTTCCAGGAATTGAAGCAGGAACCCATGAGAGAATGAGAAAATATCCCTTGAGAGTAAGGAATCCAGAGCACAAAAGCCTGCCAGCATATAAGAGGAGAAGGCTGCCAGTGTGGAATGGGTGGCTATGACAGGCACTTACAGGGTTAGGATCTGCTGCCGGATCCCTGGCTGATGGGATCTGATCCTTTACTCTCCTGATGTCTTTTGTTTGTTCTAGCAAATGCACTGGAAGAGACAGGCCTTTTAACTTGTCCTCTTTTAACTAGACATTGTGAGTCACCTCTTGTCCCATCGCGCATTTATTATTTTATGTGCTGTAACATATTTCCCTGTGACCCCCTCAACTACTGTTGTTTGGTTGGAGTTGGGACTAAAATTTGCATTTTTATGAATTTTTTGTTTAAAAAAAAAAGTACTTAGTGTTATTCTTCTATGGGGAATATGTTACAGTTTCTTCTTTATCCCCCACGCAAATGACCAATAATTCATACAAGAAAGCCTATAAGGCAAGAGATTGCAAAGTAATTGGAGTTGGGTGTGAAGGTGATGACTTCTCATTTCTATTGAGAGCAGTGTCATTTGCACTTGACACTCCCAGCCAGGGCCGTGCAGTAATAAACCATCTGCCCCTGCAGGGAGCTCTTCACCATGCTCAAGTAGCCCAGTGAATGGAAGAAAGAGGCCCTTGTCTGCACAAGGCTGACAGGCTGAGTCCCACTCTGTAGCTTCAGGGTCTTATGGAGAGCAATTCCCACTTCAGTGAGTGTTCCATGGCTTACCAAAGGAACGGGGATGCCCATCTCAGGATCATTGTGAGGATGGGTATGACTTAACAGATGTGCTAGGGGCTTAAATGGATAACTGAAATAATTAAGATGGCAATTCATTGGAAAGGCATTTGTGGGACACAATTACTCAGAACTGCCGTGGAAATACCTTCCATGGTGCATTGTCTGATTTCTCCTATTCTTTTCTAAAGCAATTTTATTCTGATTCATGGTAGCCCTAGTTGATAAAGGAACTTGCCATGCTACAAATAGACCATTTACTGTGGAATTCTTTCTCTGTCCTATCTCTTTGTTATATCTTCCTCTTGGGTCCTTCCAGTGTGGGCTTTCTTTCCCATGAGCTACTTTTTACCTATTTCCACATTAAAATTTTCTTGCAGGGGGCTACAGAGATACCTCAGTAATTAAAATGCTTCATCTCCAGCACCCACATAGAAAGTCAGGTGTGATGGTGCACCTTATAATACCAGTGCTGTAGAGCTGGAAACTGAATATCCATGGCTCCATACCAAGCCAGTCTAGTTTAGTGGATGGGCCCCATATCTTACTGTAAGTCATCCTATCCAAAAATGGAATGCAAATTGTTCCTGAGGAGTGGCATTTGAAGTTAACCCCTGGTCTCCACACTCATGTGCACTCCTGGGCTGGTGCAGATAGGTACACATGCACACAATTGTACACATGCAACCAACACACACACACACACACACACACACACACTCACACACTTCACACCCACAAATTTCTCTCAGAGGGAAGTTTGTGTGAAAGTCAGTGTAGTGGTAAAAGAAGTTATTGCCCCCCAACTCTCCCATCCTGATTATTACTGATCTATTTTTATTCCAATTTGCCCTGTGACTTGTATGAGGACTGTTAGCTGTGTTGTGGAGCTTATATTACTAGCAGAGTGTTGGGGAACCACTTGCACAAATGAAGTCCTATTTGCACCTCTCAATTGATCTGATTCCTCCTACTGAAAAAGCAAGATGAGCTCCATCTTGGACACTGAGATGTTTAATACTCTGCATGTCTCAGGGAAAATTTGATTTGAACAGTCCAGTGCCGGACAATTTCATTTTCTGCCAGTGTGTGACCTTTCCAATGAAATTAAACTTGAGCCTGAGTTTTGAAGCAATGGTTGCTTTTTATGAACATTTTCCAGAGGGCAGCTGTGGAGGACATAAACCCAGCAGATGACCCCAACAATCAAGGGGAAGATGAATTTGAGGAAGCTGAGCAAGTGAGAGAAGAAAATTTGCCCGAGGAAAGTGAAGAGCAAAAACAAAGTGAAGCCAAGCAAGAGAATGCAGAAATGGATGAGCACTTGGTGGTAAGATGATGCCTGTGATGAACAGGGGTTTGGCCTGAGTATTTTAGTAAATGCATAGTTTATGGGAAAGGCAAGTGCTGTGTGGGTTGAGAGACCATTTGCCACATCAGCACATCATCAGGTATTGGACTCTGGTATAAGATGATATTGGGTTTTGACCCTTGAGTAAGATGATATGCCTATACTCCAAGAGTAAGGTAAGGGCTCATACACACACTTCTTTGGAGAAATGAACATTCAGCATTTTCTGGCTCCTGGTATGCTCATTCTCTGACCCAGCATCCTGTGAGATGCTTCTCCATGGTAGAGTAACATGAGCCTCTCCTTTTTTTTCAACAGATGGCAGGGAATCCAGACCAGCAGGAGGATAATGTTGATGAACAGTACCAGGAAGAAGCAGAGGAGGAGGTATAAGATCGGGTGCATGGGACTGGGCACATGGGGCATACTACCCTCAAACAAACCTCAGCTCTGTTGACTTTGACATTCAGACTTAAATGGGAAAGGGGTGGGAACTTGAAAAAGAAATGGATTATAGCCGCTGAAACACTTAGAAGATAACAAACCAGGCTGATTTTAAATGACCAGAAATCTGGAATCCAGGAATCCTCTGGCAGATGTAGATTCATGGGATCTTTTTGAGAGTATCATGCATGCATTTTCTCGCATCAGAGAGAGAACGAGGCTCTGCATATCCTGACCCCTGTACCTCTGTCTCTGCAGACTCTTCCCCATGCTGTCTCAGGGAGACACCCACAGAGTAAGCTGGGGCCCATCTAACCCTCTCTAAGTATTTCTAGAGGTTTACCAATCTATACTTGTGACCTTTTCCCTTAATAATGAGGACTGGCTCACTTGGCAAGAGAGAGAGGCTTTGAGTTCAGTCTCCAACACACATCCTCCACCAAAAGAAAAAGGGGAAAGAAATGAGGAGATAAAATATGGAAATGACTGGACTTCATTTGAATTAAAATGCATTTAGATGGAATTTCTTAGTGTTAAATTTTAATTTGCTTTCCATTGTAGATTTCTGGCATATTACGTCTAATGAATCTTATATAAAACCTATCCCAGTATCTTACCCCCTATTAATCAACTGGTGAGTGCAGTGTCTATCTCTTTATTAAATTGTATGTGGAAGTGTCTTAGGGTTTTATTGCAGTGAAGAGAAGCCATGACTACAGCAACTCTTATAAAGGAAAACGTTTAATATAGACTGGCTTACATTTTAGATGTTTACTCCATTGTTGTCACAGTGGGAAGCAAGACAGCATACAGGCAGATAATGCTAAAGAGGTAACTGAGAGCCCAGATGGGATGGGCACACAGCAGGAAGAGAGAGAGCCATTGGGCCTCCCTTGAGCTTCTGAGCCCACCCCCAGTAACACACTTCCTCAAATAAGGCCACACCTACTCCAACAAGGCCACTTGTTCAATCCTTTGAAATAATGCTACTACCTATGAGCCAGTAGAGGCCATTTTCATTCAAACTACCACAGAACATATGGTTTGCATCAGGTCCAGACCCCACATTTACTCTCTCTTTATAGGCAAGTCAGTGTTTTCCAAGAGCAACTTTATAACCATTGTCTTATGAAGGGAAGGCTTTGTCTCTGGGTGAACGTGGGGCAGTGGAGGTGGACAAGTAAGATGGTAGACAGCAAGCTCAGAGTGTTTGTTTTTCTGCACTTGTATCCTCGACTGCCTTCATGAATCACTGTCTCATTCTTATTTGCCACCATCAGCTTTTTAGAGCACATGCTAAATTATTTGTGCTTACCCCAAGAAAAGAGAAAATCACACTGCCCTTTATGACCCTGTTCTCTGTAACAGTCTTCATCTTTGCCTTTTCTTGTATTTCTCCTCCTGCTGTTCATCTTCCTGAAGATGCAGAGATTGTCTTTTCAGAAACAGCATTGGAGAAAAGAAGCAGCCTTGGATATGAAGACATTTGCAGGAGAAAGCTATTCATCAGGACTGCTCTTGTAACAGGATGTCTAGACCAACACTCCTTTGTTTCCTTAAATCAGATAAGGGGAAGCTTTGAGGGATTAAGAGAGAAAGGGTTCACCTTGGCTTCCTTTTAAAAATTCAGAAGGGTAAACATAAAAGTTTAATCAGTGTTTGCTGATCCCTTCTCTGCTCTGTAGGGTGATCAGTTACACTGTGAAGGAGAGAAAGCCTGAGATGTGAGAGGACAGAGAGAAAAGACAGACAGGCAACTGCAGGCAACAAGGCAAAGGCGTGTGCTGTCCCACTGCAGCCTGCATGGAGAGGAGGTTCCAGTGTTCCTCTCCTTGGCTCTGCTCCTGCTAGCACTGTCTGGAGGCCTTATAACAATGTCAGTGTCTGTACTTCCTAACTCCCTGCTGCATTGGACTCTCTCTCTCTCTCTTCTCTTACACACACACACACACACACACACACACACACACACACCTTGCATTTGGGACTACTGCCTAAAACTCTCACAGACCTTTTCTTTCCAGCATTAACTGTCCCCCTGTTCGCTCAGCATCCCATGTAGAGGCTATGTTGAATTTTACCGGCTCTTTTCATTATTCCAAGGCCGCTGTAGAGGTGGGGAGAAGAGCAGATGCCAAATATCTTTCAGACACTAATAACAGAGATGAAGAATGTGCAGCAACAATCATGGTGGACTAGAAGCATGGATGCATGGCATCTATGTGTGGGGACAACATTCATGGACACACTATCGAAACAATGAAATACCAAGTGGCTTAATCCTGCTCATCTCTTCTTTGCCTGAGTGTTCCAGCTGTTCCATTAACAACTGGGTTGTAGACTTGTAATAGCACCCAGTTTCCTTCCCTTCCAGGCAAAACTCAGATGTGTTGCTATTAGTGTATTACTGTAGTAGTATTTGTTGACATTAATCCTGTCAGAGCTGCAGTCAGGGAAGAGGAGAAAGAAGGGGAAGAGGGGGAAAGAGAAAGAGTATTATGTGTATGTATACATAAGTATGTTCCAGTGTGTGGGTACACATACGTGATGAGAGTATACATCCATGTGCATGCACATGTGTGTAATGGCCAGAGAGCAACCTTGGATTCCGTCCCTCAGGTGACATCCACCTTTGTTTTTGTTTATTTTTTTTTTTTAAATAAGATCTGTCATTTGGCCTGGAATTCACTAAGGAGTCAGGCTAGCTAGCCAGACAACCCCCCCACCCCAGATCTGTATGTCTCTGCCTCACCAGAGCTGGGATTATGTTCATGCCACATAGGCTCTGAGGATTGAGTTGACAAAACACATCAGTGACTATTCTGTGGCCCCAGCTTTCCACTGCCTTCATTTATCCGAGCCAAGTTATCTTTGTAAGACATAAACATGATTTCCTGACCAGCACTCCTTCTTTATTTCTTTATGATTTCTAGAGTGAAAATACTTTTTAAAAGATTTCTCTCATATTGCTAACATTCCAGATAGTTTATCTTCTTTTGAGTGAAGAGACATATTATGACATATCTTTTAAAAAATAAGTTTATATATTTTAAAGTACTTAAATGTTAAAAACAGATTAAATGACTGCTTGAAAAATGTAGATATGTCAATGTGTCCAGTACAACCAAAAACCAGATTAATAAGAACCTTCAGGAGAGAGAAGCGAAAGGGTACCTGTCCACCTTTTGTAGACAGAGGGACACATACCTGATACCAGATAGGACCTGAGAGTCAACATGTTCAGAAACTTTCCCAGTGCCGGGTATGGCTCTGCTGATAGAGTTCTTGTGCAGCATGCAGGAAACACATGAACTGGCTGTGTGGTGCACACCTAAAATCCCAGCACTTTGGGAGTGGAGGCAGGGATGTCAGAAGTTCAGGGTTGTTCTCAGCTATACAGCAAGTTTGGAGCCATCCAGGGACATAAGGTCCTGCTAGGAAGGGAGGAGGGAAGTCCTTTTGAATGGGTGCAGATTCTTTTAAACATTCCAGATTAGCCATTGTAGCTCATGTTTGAAGGCCTTTGACTGTCTCTCATGCCACCACCTCTGCATCCACCCATGCTCAGCTTCTGAAGGGGACGCTTCTTGGTTCCCAACTATATACACACTTTCTCTCATATGTAGAAGAAAAGTGTTCCTATATACACTAGCACAGGTTGGCTAGCTATCACCGACTTCAGCTGCTAGTATCTGCTTTGTTTTCTTTAACCCCTCAGCAAAGTTTGTCCCATGTGGTAAGATTCTTTTCTGCAATTTCTAAAGTGCAGTTTTCATGGCTGCAAATGAGAAGTAGCAGGGTTGAGATGTGTTTGATAAAGCATGCTGCCAGCTGTAGCAGGATATTAAGACAGACTGCTATGAAACATGGAAATGATCAAAGTTGAACTTTTGACCTAGGACTACCCACTTAAGCATATTGTAAAGCTCAGAAATACAATATCATCTGCTCTTCTTTAGTAGAGCTGTTAAGATGAGCTTGGGTTACTTTTGTCTCAAACATGATGAATGCATTAGTATTAGACATATAACAACCAATTGTCTCTATGGCTTGAATATTACAGAATACCCTTTTTTGATTAATCAAAGAGCCATTTAAGTCATCAGTTCACAACTATAATTATAATGACAACCAAGACATGAGCTAAATTTTCTACAGTAGAGAAAGGGTGAAACATTCATAGAAAGGTTGTTATTTCCCTAGCCAGCCATTCTTAACCAGTACCCATTGTACTCAAACATGTGTCCTATATCAGCTATGACCAAGACTCACTTTGTGAAGTTCATAAAAAATACAAATACCTAGATAGATTCTACCCTGTAGTATTTGGATCTTATCTTTCAAGGGCCCTAGAAATCAGAAACAACAGATACTGATATTTTGGAAACCTCTGTTTAGATAAATAGTACTAGGGAAAGCAGCTATAGATAGACTTTGCAAAGTGTAACCTTTTGAACTTATGAGAGTGGTTATACCCATTTGCTAAACATTTTCTTACTAAATGCTTAACAGGGTTGATGGCTCTCAGATTGCTCCTCCCCCAACACATACAATAACCACTAAGGGTCATGGACTTTGATTCAACACTTTTATTTCATGTATTAGGAATTGAGCTATAGAAAGGTCAGTTAAGTTTTTCAGAACTCCATAATTTGTTATTTACTGTTGAAGTCTAACTACAGCTTACCCAGGGCCAATACAAGGGTGATAGCATTAAACATACCAAGAACTAAAAGATAATGTGAAGGCGGTCTTGGTGGAAATTAATATAGAAAGAATGATAGAACCAGAATATTGCCATGTTGTAACCTCTAAATCAATCAACTAAAGACATGTTCATCAGTGAATGATATCACTATATGAACAGAAGTCAGAGAACTTTCCATGGGACATAGGGTGACTGGGCTATCAACATCTGATGTCACTATCCAAGACAACCTTTCTGTAATTAGGACAAACAGGAACAGATTGCATCCTGACGGCATGAACATAGCCAGTTTTCAGCATTGCTTCTGAAATGCCCTTGCCTCTTATATTGAATCTGAATTGGATCACATTTTATATTAACTTTACTCACAGGAAATATAAGGAACTAAAGGGGTGGTTGCAACAGGGGTTGAAGGCATACCAGACAGAACTGAACCTAGAATTTTTTAAGAAAACAAAAAACAAACAAACAAACAAAAAAAAAGGATGAAAAGCCCATTTATCCATTATCTTTGTTTAGATTGTGATTAGGAGAAAGTTACTGTGCATATATTTTCCATGACAGCAGCCAAGTGTGGTGAGCCACAGTTGGACAGAAGGACCGCTGGTTGATACCAGGTTAGGTCACTTAGTGAGTTTCATGTCAGCATGCATGGCAGTCTAAGGCTTTACCTCAAAACAAAACAAAACAAAACAAAGAAATTGTTAAAAAGATAGTAAAGGGAGTGTAAGTGTGGTCTAGCCAGCAGATTATAGCACAGGATTACTGAAGTTGTCAGATGTGACCATGGCACTTTCTTTGTACAGACAGACTGTCAATGCCAGAGATGTATTCTATAGAATATAAATTGCATTACATGGAAATTGCATGATGGGTAGAAAATTTAAGACTAACTTAGCAAAGGGCTGGGAAGATGGCTCAGTTGCTAAAATATTTACTATATAATCTTGAATGTTTGAGTTATGTCTATAGTATTCACAAAAAACAAACAAACAAAACCTAACAAACATGATAACATACACTTGTAATTCTACCACTGGGTGGGTCCCTGGGGCTCACCAGCCAAAGTGGGCAAATTGGTGGACTTCAGGATCAGTGAGAGACTGAGTTAAAAAAAAAAATTTAAAAAGGAGTGAAAGTCTGAGGAAAACACCTGGCATTGACTTCTGACATCTCTTTATTGGCATGCATTTGAAGGTCTTCATAATGAAAACTGTTTCCCCAGTAGTCCAGGAGGTGATGCAAGAAGATGTGAGTTTGAGGCAAGACCCTGCCTGAAACCAAAAACAGCACATTTGACCTTGTTGTTTATATGGAAGAAACAAGGTACAAGCCTTTGGTTCAGATTTGTCTATCCACATAGTTAAGAGGTGGAAAACTCCAATAAGCACAGTCTGTTTTGTCAAAAAGTTTTGTTGGCCTTTTTGTTTGAATATTGTGTATCGCTGTTTTGTTCTACATTGGTAGAGTTGTGTTGTGTGAGAGAGACAGAATGGTTGAGGAAGCCTGAGTATTTACTAGTCCCCATATGACACAAAAGATTTCTACCCTCTGACTTAGGGATTTTTCTCACTGCACTGCAGTTCCTAAGCTTTCCTTCCATTCTCAACCAACTCACATTTAGACATGTGATGCTTTCTTCATTAAAGTTATTAAAAAAAAGTTGTCTTTGTTTATCAAAACTGACACAACACTTGAGCAATTTAATAAATAATACTTCAGTTTGTCAGCCCTGAATATAGTCGGGAACATATGTTCCACTTCCCTCGTTCCAATATCCTATGGAATGACACTGTGAGATCCTATGATGAATGGCAGAAGAGATGTCATAGACTATTGGTAAAGACATAAAGTGAGACAGTGTTCTATGTTCTATGTTAATTATTTAGATCAAATACAGTTTAGGGGCTCTAGGTCCAGCCCATATAGCAGAATGACTAGACTCGTGAAGACATACTTCTGGCCTGAATATCTTGGAAGAGGCGTCCTTGTAGGCTACAAACAAGCCTGTATCTATCCACAGCTCATCAGGAGGCTGAACTATTCTCACTTCCCTCATCTTGTTTGGATGCTTTGAGACAGTGCTTGATCTCCTTCTACTTGATTATAATACCTCACCCACTTTTCACAGTGGCAACATGCACTCCTCTAACTTTTCTTTCCTCAATTCTCTTACTGCCTTGTGTCATTCAAGAGGACTCAATCATACACTATGAATCTAGAAGAGACTGGCTTTGTACCAGCATAGTCCTTTACATCAAACTGATGTTCTGAGAATCTTTGTAATAAATACAAATGACTTCTGTCTTCTGGCATATATATGGTTTCAGAAGTTAACAATTCAGAAACTGTATTATCATCTAGTTCTACAAGATGTGATCATTACAGGTTATTTAGTAAATATATTTGGATGCTCTCTTTGATTCACATTTTGAGATAAATGTTTGTGACCAATGAATTGGTGAAAATAGTGTATGCAAAACAAAACAATTTCAAACAGAAATGTGTTAGCACATTACAACAGGAATTTGGGGACTGTTCCTAATAGAACATTTCATGAAGAATTTAAAATTATTTTGTCCCATTTTCTATACATTTTAGCTAGATAAATTTATTCTTAGATACATAATTTTTCTACCTAATTTTACATAGACAATGTTATCTTTTGTATTGATGGAGAAGAGATATTTTTGCACTTATTTATTCATTTACCTCATTGATTAGCTATTATGTATATAAAAATTCTGGCTTGCCTGAAACCTACTGGTTATTAATGACAGCAAATAAGACCGGCTGTTTTGCCTTCCTAGAACTTATGTCCCATCAGCCTTGTAGAATTCTCAAGTTCTCCCCATTTGGAAGTGGAAATACTACAGTTTTAAAGAGAGCTGAATCTCTTTACTGTTAACTTTGTAGAGGTCACCTGTATCCAGACAAATTAGAAATCCAATTTAGGAGTCCTTTAAGAATCACATTGATTTTTTTTAATTTTTGTTCTTTACAATTGCATATATTTATTTAGTGAATTTTAACAATTTTCCTCTCTATACCCTTTCTGATCCTCTTCCCTTGTCCCACTACCTTTCCCTCTGAGATGCTTCTTTTCAATAAATCTTCCTACAGTCACATATTCCTTTTGGGGATGGCCCACTAAGTCTAATTAGACTTTCTTGCAAAGCGTGAGTAGGAGTTAATTTACTGGAGGAAATGCAACTTCTTAATGCTACACCACTGAAGAAAATGGCACCTGTTCCTCAAAAGAACATTAATTGCCAACAGTTTCTCCAGAGGTATATCACATCCTTCTGTACACCTATTAGTCAAGATGAACTTTTGAACTTATCATTTTTCAGCTTTAATTTTAGTTCCTCTTTTGTAAAGATATGAAATTTTGAATGACTTTCTTAGAAATCAGGACATTTTGTCACACAGGATTACTTCAGAAAGCATCACTCAGTGTTTGTGATTGTGTTTTAGGTTCAGGAAGATTTGACTGAAGAGAAGAAAAGGGAATTGGAGCATAATGCTGAAGAGACCTATGGTGAAAATGTATGTTTCTTTGAATAGATGCATTAGTGTGTGTGCCTACATGTGTGTGTGAGAGAGAGATGTGCATGTATGTATGTCAGTATGTATGTATGCAGGAATGTGTGTGTTTGCCTACCCTGCTCTGGAATATCACATTTACACTTATAAACCACACACAAGCACACAGACAGAGACCAACAGTATATTCGCTGCACCTCTAAGGCAATGATAAACTTAGCCAGCCCACCCAGAATTAAGAAAAGTTATGATAACTGCAAAAACAAGAGGATTTAATAGTATTGTTTTTAAGAACATTTTCTTCACATCTTCTCTTCCTCTAAAATGAATTATTTTGCATCCTTTGTTACAGAGAATTATTAATTACCAACTCTCCATCCTCTCTTAGTATTTTTTTCTTTTATCTTTTAGGCTGATGATAAAAATAATGATGGTGAAGAACAAGGAGCCCAAGATGGTGCCCATCCCAGAGGAAGAGAGGAGCATTATGAGCAGGAGGAAGATGAGGAAGAAGACGGGGCAGCTGGTGCCCAGAAATCACATCGTAGAGCCGAAATGTAGCTGGATTTGATTTCTAAACTGTGCTCAGCCAATTTTTTATTCAAGCTGCTCTAAAACAAATCCTGCCTACTGAATTCTAGAATATTTAATTTACATACAAAAGTAAGGGTTTAGACTTTTTTAACTTTTATATTAGAAATACTATACATTTATATGAATATATTTTGATAACTTAGCTTAGAACTTCTTTTATAGTCAAGTTAAACACTGACAGGAAGAAAAACAATTAAGACATGCTTTCAGGTCTGAATCTCATTCCTCAGAGATGGTGTGATGTAAAATACTTGGCTTTGGTGCATGGCTCAGCTCATTATTTTTTTATCATCTGACTTCTAGGTAGTCTACCATTTATATTGGACAAAAGGCAGGTTGGATTTAGAAACAAGGTATACTGAGAAACACTGTGTGCAAATGTCCAGGGAATGACTGGTAGCCTAGTGGCTATTTTTCAGGTTCTTATGTACAGCTCTGATAGGATGTCACTACTACAGGCTGTCTAGAAATGAGATCTATCTGCACAGTTGATGTACAAATGCAAAGCCTTTATTTGTGGCAGAGCAAAGACTTCTTTGGTTCAAAGTTTAAGTCAGTTAGAAGAATATTATCAATGTTTAAAATCACAGCAGTCATGCTTGAGAGAAATCAAGTATGAAAGTTAAATAATATTAATACTCCTATGAAAATATCTTGGACTTCGTCTTTTGTTACAGAGGCCAAAGAGGGCCTGACACACTTAGAAACGTATATGGTATGTGTGATGATGCTTCCTGGGTGAACTCCAGGCTCCATCATTTCTTAAGTCTTTTGTAATATGTTCATCAGTATCCAGTTTCTACGACATGTGTTTCTCCCTTAAGCTCTGTGCCTTGGTATTTAGATCACAGTTGTTGATATGAAAGCATGTAGTTTAATAAGATTATTTTTCACAACTGTAGTTTCAGAACTATGTAGTGAAATATCTGTAGCACTATAATTGGAACTCCATCCTCAGTGGCTTTACTATTTACCCAGAATTGGCCTGCCTTTGCCTATATATAAAGCATTTTAATGGCTTTTGAATAATAACACATCCTTTAGGGGAAAATTCATAGAGGAAATTTTTCCCTGAAATGAGCACATATTTTAGTTTGGATCATCAATATTGTTGAGCATGTAAAAAGGGGCCACAATTCTTCTGTGTGTGGTTTTTAAATACTACTTTCAAAATAATAAAAATTAATTTCATTTTCTGCTATTACCGTATGAATATAATTTTAGTTTGTAATAGCCACACTCATGTATGGTTTTGATTTTCCCAGCTGAATATTTGTGTGTGTTTGCATAGAAATGTTCTGTTCAAACGTATTGTGGATTGCCAGTTACCATAAATCAAATCTTATCTTTATGTATAAAAGCCCCTTATGTAATGTAAAATGTATAATATTGTACATAATACTCAAAATACAATTATTTTGGTAAATTAGTTTGTATTTTAATGTCCCAGTTGCAGTATTTAATTATTTGAAACATATCAAAACTTGGGTAATAATCAATAAAGCTATAAAGAGTGAAGGGTAAGTCTTTTGAAGCATATAATTTCTTAGTGGCTTGTGATCTACGGTTTTTCTTTGTTAGAAGAATATAAATTAATGGATTATTAAATGCCTTCCCCAAACTGCTTCATTTTCTTTCTTTTTCTGTATAGATTGGCGCTTGACTTCTTAGCCCCCATCCTCTCACTTAAAGAAGGCACTGACTTTCATTGTCATTAAGCTAACTTTGGGTGGTGGAAATAAGAGAATGATAAATGAAGATACCAAATGTGGATTGCTGGATTCCACATCAACAGAAGTCAAAGTATTTCATGCCTGTGAATTTATTAGAGGGAAAAGAGAACACTCAATTAGACATGTGTGCAATATAGCAAAAAAAGAGCATAGACATAATGACGGGTTGTTTACAAGAGGGATCAGAGAAGATAGAGCAATATATAGTATAACCTTAGTCACAGGCACCACTGACTCCCTCTTATTAAGAGAAAGGACTGGCATGTATTGAATGCCTTCACTGGGTGAGAAGTAGATGACCTGGACTTTCTTTAATTCCCAGTGCTGCACTCACACTGAGGGCATTTCCCTTTAAGTTGACGAGATGGCCATTGGAATATTTGATATTGTTTGCCTTCTCCAAGTTTATTCTTTTGTCAGTTTGGCTCTTTGGACACTTTGAGCTATTCATAACAAGGCGGGTTGCACAGGAGTGGGTTATGTCACTTCCATTGAGATATCTTCCTGCAGCTGTTGTGTCTTTTCCTTGTCTCCTTCATGGGGACTTCCTGGCTGCTTCTTACACCTCCCCTTTAATGCTGATGCCTTTCAAGTTTATTGCCAGAGATCTTGTGTCTGTTTGACCGTCCTCCCTGGTCTCATTCATTTTCTCAGCCCAATTTTCTACATCCCATTCTACCCCCAAAGTTATTTGCTTATACCTTATAAAACCAACTTCCTTTTCTAAATTGTGTTTCCTTTTACTAAGTTGCACCAAATAGAAGCATGAAGTTCATCCCAAATTCTGTCTTCCCACCCCACATGTTATTACAAACAGATGTTCCATCTTCCCACTGTCCTGGCCTAGGTCCCACTTACCAGTTTTACCTGGAGAGTTTCCTTGCTTCATTCTTCACGTCCTTCTTTCTAATCTCTAAAGCCTGAGACAATAGGACTTTAAAGATAACCTTATGACTGCAGTATTGGGAAATTGTTTAAGAAATTCCTATTACGTGTAAGAAAACACCTCAAACCTGTTTACATGATCTAGCACCACCTTAACTCTTCAGCTTAGTAAGTTACTTTTTAATATGAACCACAATAAGTAGCCCTGATCGCTGGATGGGAAGTTGACTAGCAGAGCTGATGCTACTATCTCGTCTATTTGTAAAATAAAGCATATGATCCATGCAGAACAGATAACTGACTCAACACATAGCAGTTTCATTTCCTCTCTGGGATGTTATTTTTGACAGGCAATTTCAATATGGTATCCCCAAGCATAGAACAGTTTTTATCATGCACTGTCTTTTCAAGGGTTTTAGCAGAAGAAACAGCCTTCAAAGCTGAGGATTTATAGCCCTGAGCCATAGGGTTGGTTTGTTTTCTGGTTTGCCTCAGGCCAAGATTTGGACAAGTTTGCTAGAGAAACCTTTATAAAATGAGAGTTCCCTAAGATAGTGAATCATACGTTGTGTCAGGAGCTTACAAGGGTGAACCGTTCAGTCACCCCATGACACTTGGAAGGGAGGGGTCCACGGTGAACTGGTAAAGGTGAAGCCAGTGCCGCCTCTGTTCTCTACTTTTCTGGGATGATTTCTTTTTTTGTTTGTTTGTTTTTGCTTCTTGTATGTTTGGTTTGTTTTGTTTTTTACTTCACAAATTACATAATGCTTTAGTTACATTAAACTTTCTTTTTTGTCTTTTTTTTTTTTTTATTTTACCTATCAATCCCAGTTCCCTCTCCCTACAATCCACCCTCCCTCTTTCCCTCTATCCTGCCCTCTCATTTCCCCCAACCACCCCCTCCTATCCCCCACACTCCACATGTGGGATTCCAGTTCAGCTCAGTGTTTAGTTGGGGGTTTCTCCTTCCGTTTCCATCAGCTACTAGATTAGGGCTCTATGATGGTGGATAATTATCATCAATCTCATTATCAGGGAAGGGAACTTATGGTATCCTTTCCACTGTTGCTGAAATTGTTAGTTGGGGTCAGTCTTGTAGGTCTCCAGACATCTCTATAGGTTCAGTTTTCTCTTTAAAACCCATGATGGCTCCCTCTTTTATGTGCTCTCTCAATCATCTCTTCAATGATTTTGTTGAATATGTTTTCTGCACCTTTGAGCTGGGCTTCTTAGCCTTCTTCTATGCATAATATACTTAGGTTTGACCTTTTCATGGTGTCTCACATTTCCTGGATGTTTTCTGTTAAGGATTTGTTGGATTTAAGATTTTCTTTGGTCGATGAACCTATTTCCTCTAGTTTATCTTCAGCGCCTGAGATTCTCTCATCTATGTCATGTATTCTGTTGGTTAAGCTTGTGTCTGTAGTTCCGGATCATTTGCCCAGTTTTTCTATTTCCAGCATTCCTTCAGTTTGTGTTTTCACTATTGTCTCTGTTTCAGTTTTCAAGTCTTGAACTGTTTCTTTCACTTGTTTAATTGTTTTTTCTTGGCTTTCCTTTCTTTCTTTACGAGATTTGTTCATTTCTTCCAATTTTTTGTTTGTTTTTTTTCTTCCATTTCTTTAAGGGATTTTTCTTACATCATCTTTGAAGGCCTCTATCATTTTTATGAAGAATTTTTTAAGTCGTTCTCTTCTGCTTTATCTGCTTTGTGGTGTTCAGGTCTAGTTGGTATAAAGTCCCTAGATTTTGGTGGTGTCATACTTGTCTTTCTATTGTTAGGTGTTTTCTTGTATTGCTGCCTTCCCATTGGTTCTTCCAGTAGGTGCAAGTGGGGCTTCTCCCTCTCTCTATGGTATGCCCCCGGTGGGCTTAGGTGGGTCAGAAGTTCGATGTCTGTAACTCTGGGTGGTCCAAGCTCTCTAGGAGTTCTCTTTTCAGTCAGGGGCCCAGGGATGGGATTCAAAGATCAGGCTCCAGCATAGGCCCAGCGATGGAGGTCAAAGATCCAGCAGGCAGGGACTCAGGATGGTCCTGCAGATATAGGCGGATCTCTGGCCGATACCTGGAACTCCAGCAGAGGACCGATGATGGGGGTCAGAGATCAGCCAGACTGGGATTTAGGGTGGTCCCGCATGGATAGGTGGGTCTAGTGTGCTCAGAGCAGCTCCAGGATGTTCCCCGGAGGTGGTGGGATTTAATATTAAACTTTGTTAATGAACATAGGCAAATGAACACCAGCAGTTTCCTGGCCCCAAGGATGCCTCCAGATCCTCTCCTGTCTGTGTCCCACCAGCAAGAGAGTGCTCCCTAGCTCCTCCTCAGACCTAGTTCTCCAGTTCACTCCTAGATGATTTCTTTGAGCCTCACCTTACCTACAACTTCATTCAAGAAATGACTTTTAGGTTGGAATATACTTAATGAACATTTGTGATTCACAGAGACCTGCATTGAGGAATCACTGCCACAGTGAAAGCTGCTAGACACAATACAAAGAAGTGTCAGCATGGCTGTAGTCTTGTAAAACTATGTAAACAATGCAGTGTGTCTCTACAGCTACAGAGTGCTCATCTCCATGGCCCAAATACTTAATGGTGAAAACTGTATTTCAGTAGGAACCAAGATTTTGAGGTCTTCAAGTGTTATGGATTTCTATTCCTTGTTGTGATCCCTTCTATTTTTTAGTTGGCAAGGACTCAACATTATCTGAGATGCTACATCTGTACACCATTGTAAGTAATTGGAAATGAAATATTGTTGTCCTTTACGATCTTGGCTGACCTTGTTCTTCCCATTCCCTGTATGTTACTAATGGGGCTTGAAATTAAATGTCATTTCTGTTTATCTGTTAGCACATTTCTGTTTTTATATTAACACATACACAGCATTGCCCTGAAAGTACATGTCTTCTAAGTACTGGTTCATTGGACAACATGGGCTTGAGCAAGATGAGATGATGGCTTTTGAGCTGGGTTGTCCTATCCTCCTAAAAATATGTGTACCAATTATGTAGGGTGGCACATTCACTCACTATATACAGCTTTGAGGGTTTTTAGGTTCTGTGGGTATTAGACTTTTGCTCAGTTCATGTCCTGTACTAAAATCAATCATTAATAATTATCTATTTATTTATTTTAATTTTGACATATGGTCTTACTACATTGCCCAAACTGGACTTAAGTTTCAAATCTCCTAGCTTTAGTCCTCTAGCAGTTAGAAATAATAGTTTGTAAACCCTGGGTTTGGCTTAGAATTATGGGTGTGACAGCATGCACATGTTCGTGTGTAGGTTCATGTCAATATGGGGGTACATTAGCACATGTATACACGCTGTGGAGATCAGAGGGCAACCTCAGGTGTCATTGCTCATGAGTTCTCTACCTCTGTTTTTTAAAGAGGGTCTTTGTTTTCATTTGCCTGGAACTGGTCAAGTAGGCTAAATGGGCTGGACATTGAGTTCCAGATACTTGCCTGCATTTATCTCCTTAACACTAGGATTACTGGTGAGTACCACTATTCCTGGCATTTTTAGAATATGAGGCCTAATTGTCAAACTCTGGTGGTCATACCTGCGTGGCATGCATGTAACAAACTGAGCTATACCTCCAGCCTTGCCTTAAACATTTCAATAAATGTGATCAAAATATCTTTTATAACCTTTTATAAATTACTTTCTGGGATGGTTTCAAAATTTGTTGAGGAATTCTTCTGGAGTCTATAGTGCTTTTATTCTCTTGAGTGTATAAAAGATTTATTTATTGATGTAAGAAAAATAAAATTTAAGAGCAGTAACCATGTTAAGACTCAGAGGTCAGATTATAAAAGATAATGTATCCTTGCTCTGGATCTTGGATCAGTCATTATGAAAGTGCCAGGCACCACATCCTGGGGGCTATTCAGACAGAAGCCCCA